ATTATTGATTAAAAGTATGTTACATCCCAAATTCATTTAATTTCATTGATACGCTGTTAGCATAAATAGCGCTGGTATGGATTGCACTGTAGTAAAATATTTTTTTAAAATTGATGAGCTTGATGGAAAAAAATTAAAAAAAAAAAAGACCAAATTTTTTGCACACAGACCCAGGAAAGGCTTATCCCTTCTGCCCAGAAAACCTGACCCTGTCAGTTAGTCTGATAAAAGTACTTTTTCCTACTTCTTCCTTCGCTGCCTTTTTTATATTCTTCGACTATTGCGGCAACGACATTATTGCAAATTACTATTATTACAAAATTATGCGATTCACACGTTTTCCTTTAATAACATTTCAGAATCCACTCAGTATACTTGTTTAAGTGGTGAATGCTATTTAGAAGGGGATAAATACTGATTTACATTTCTAAGTGTCTTTTAACATAGAGAAGACACTGTCAGTGTGAAAATCTGTAGGGAGTGGGAGATGGCTTGGAGGGTGGAAGGAATAATCACGTCACATTTAAGCCTGTATGATCTGTTTCCATAGAAAAAGGTTAGAGATCAACAAATTCTCAGTTTGGTTCAGTAATAAATGAAGGTTGGCTAGGGTATTGAGTTTCTGGGGGAAGCATTAGCCAATATGTACAGCAGCAGCCTCTGGTGGTCTAAGAAAATATAGTAGTAACTAAAAGTAAGGATATAAATATGTTTTTTAAAAGGATGCACGTACATATTTAGCTATTTAACACAATCCTCCATTCAACACATTAAAAAACAGATGCTTTTAAAACGATCTGCTGGCAATATGCTTGTTAAAATCTGAACAGTAAGAGTATTAAAATTCATATGCATTCATTAGCATGTTATATAAAAGTAAAATGCTTTTGTTTAATCATTCCATAAAGTATTATAGTCAATGCTGATTATCAAGAAGTTTCTTCCTTAGTTTGCATTGACAAAAAAGAAATCAAATTCATAAGATTGTTACTGAATTGATGACATTTTCTGTCTTCACTTGTGAATTCAGTTGGCAGATGTTTTCAAGAACAAAAAAATTCTGTCTCACTACAAAACATATTAAGCAGGTTTTTCTGCCATAATGTTTGACATGATGTTTATTGCCCAGACCAAATCAGTACCTTTAACAAGCTATAATGTATGCCAGAAAGTACATTATTTCATAGTTAAGGAAACTTCCAGCATGAAACGATAAGTACTTTGATCTTTCAAGCACTATGCTTAATGCACTACACGCTACCTTAGCCATTTCTACTTGTACTCATTTTGTACAACAACACAGGGCAAATTGAGACTCTGTATCTTAAGACTCCACTCTTACAAATGCTTGAGTGTCCCAGCTATTTTGTATTTTTATTTTAAAATGAAAATGAGGAAAATACTTAAAAGAAATTTACCATGGAAGAGTTCCATTCTTCCAATTCTTGGAAAATCTAACTGCACTAGTGGAAGCATCATCCAGTCAGCTTTAATTTGTTCAAATGATATTTCCTCACCAGACCACAATAGGTCTTAATTACCCTGTGAGAACGTAAGTGAAGATATTTAACGCTAATACTTAAGAGCCTGAAACAATTTCTCCAGCACATCTGACACAAACAGATGTTCCTTCAATGTCAGATGCAGTTTATGCCTACTTGCAAGGATATCTTCCATCCAGTCTCTCTGTACCAGTCTTCCCTGCACCGCAAAGATGATGCAAGCCTTGCTCAGGATTTCCAGAACACTTTGATGAGATCATTACAAAGCATTTACCATCCTTAAGTATTTATGGAATGACAGTATCTTCTATTTCAAGAGCCCAATGAGTCAAGTTTAATAGAGCCAAGTGTAGGGTCCTGCATTTTGGTCACGGTAACCCCATGTAACACTACAGGCTTGGGGAAGGGTGGCTGGAAGGCTGTACAGCGGAACAGGACCTGGGTGTTCTAATTGACAGTCGACTGAATATGAGCCAGCAGTGTGCCCAGGTGGCCAAGAAGGCCAACGGCATCGGGGCTTGTATTAGAAATTTTGTGACCAGCAGAAGAAGGGAGGTGATTGTCCCTCTGTACTCAGCACTGGTGAGGCCGCACCTTGAGTATTGTGTTCAGTTTTGGGCACCTCAGTATAAGTGAGATATCGAGGAGTGAGTGCAGAGGAGGGCAACAAAGCTGGTGAAGGGCCTGGAGAACAGACCTTATGAGGAGCGATTGAGGGAGCTGGGT